TAGTAATGCATGTGATAACTTGACATTAAGGTGCATTATCCTTGCACTAGAATGCCAATAGTTCAGGCTTGCAGATTGCCACTTCATGGGGCAACCAGGACAAAACTATGTGCTCTGGCAATGTACTGCTATGAACTTGAACACTTAGCTTGAGAGAGAAAGAAAGATCAGGTATTGCCATGACAGATCTGCTTTCTACTCTCCTGTTTAAGGGCGTCTGGCTTCAAAGGCTGAGTTCACAGCCCCATGTGTAGAACCTTGTTGTAAGCAGCTGAGAGAGAATATTGCATTTGTCAGCCACAAAACAGGGCAGGGTTTATGGATGACTTCTTCATATACATGTTACGTGCTATCAAGTTGTTGGGATAATCACAACACAGGGTATCAGTGAGATAAGGTTTTTATAGCTGAATGTGATTGTCATTTGCTACTTATATGATTGCTAAAGTTCTTTTTCTTCTCTCTGGCATTTGAGGCAAATGCCCACCCTTCTTCCTGTTTTTGTCCTGCTTCCATTGTTCTCTCTTCCTCCATCCCTCCCTCCCTCCTGACCCAGCTCTATGTGGCAAGAATGGAACGATGTATCTCCTACATGGTAGAGACTCTGACACCTCATTTTTTCTTTTATTCTTCTGATTGTAACTATTGATTGTAACTGTTAGTAAAGAAACCTTTTTTTATCCCTTAAATGCTTCTGGCATTTAAAACAGCAAAGTGCTAGTTTATGGGGGGAAATGAAAGGGATGTGTGATGAAACTGGGCTGATCCCTCTTACTCTGCTAACTAAAAAAGGAATAACCAAAATTTTCCAATGCAAATTGGAAACATCTTATAATGACCCTAATAGGGAGCTGTTCAGGGAGTGATTTTATCAGTATCGTCCTTTTAGAGAGTTTCCATGGCAGAGTAAAGAACATCACTCTATGCACTACATCATATGAGGTATTCTTTACACTTCTCTAGGTTTTTTTAAACTTAGGTTATCATTATGAAAATGAATAAAATAATGATGTGCCATCAAGTCAATTCTGAATTATGGTAACCTTTTCCAGGTAAAGAATACTCAGAAGTGGTTTGCCATTCCCTTCTTCTAGTGGTGCCCTGGGACTGTGCAGCTTGCCAAAGGCCATACTGGCTTTTCTCTTAGGAGGTCCAATGGAGAATTGAACTGCCAACCTCTGGCTCTGCAGTGAGATACCTAAACCACTGATGTATCTATCCAGCCATCTATCCAGCCAGCTAACATTATGGCGTGTTATAATTAATGTTCTGAGACAAATAGATCTCTGTAGTCATTATCCCCTGTATTTGCTTGACCATGTTCAGAAGTCAACTTCTGAAGACCTACTGATCTGCCAACCTGTGAAAACGATGAGACTAGTGGTCATGATCTTTTGATTTGTACTTCAAGCTATGAAATGAATTGTAAGTATAACTCTGTGCCAGGTAGTATTGTTGACTGTTGGGACCCAACTTTGTACACCTTTGGGCAGGACCCAAAGACACACTTTTAAAAATGTTTGCTTTCTCCTAAAGAATCTTACTGAGCTTATCCAATGTAGTTTTAGCTGTGATTTAATTATCGGATGTGTAGTCGCACATGCAACTAAAAAAAGTTTGTGGCATCATTGAGAGCAACAGTATATAATTTCACTTTTAGCATTTTTAAGGATTTGAAAAGATTTCACTGCCGTTTGCTCACCTATGTCCAGAGCTGCCTTGGGAACATTTTTTAATCCTAAAACACAGGTTGCAGATATTTCAAACATATACACAAATAATGGGGTGCAGGAGATCACAGCTGTTTTTGTCTTCCTGGGATACCCTTACCATATTCTTCAGAGAATCCTACAAGAGTTCTGTGATGCTGGAAAGCAGAAAGAATGGATTACGTACTAGAATGGAGAAGTTGCTGTTATGTGCTGTTTTTGAAGGAATAGCTATGTTAGTTTGTGCAAGAAAATCAGACAAAAAAAAGCAAAGCAAACCAAAAGGAATAGCTATGTTAGCCTGTGCAAGCAAATCTGACAAAAAGCAAATCAAACCAAAACCAAAAGACAAAAACATGGTGGCACCTTAAAGACTGGTTGCTATATTTTAATGTGAGCTTTTATAGATCAAGCCCACTTCTTCAAACATAAGAGTGAGACTATTTGACTGTCATATTTATAGATGGCCTCATGATCAGGTGGGGATACAGATAATGGACAAAGGGACAAGAGTATGTTAGTAGGGGAATAGGCTATTAGGCTGTGAATAATGTTAATTATCAGTCTACAAGGTAATAACAGCAGAGTTGACACAAACAGCAAACTGTGTAATCAGTGTAGCATTTCATATTGGGAACAGATGAGTGAGTTAGGTATCTGGCTGTGGAGCCAGAGGTTGGGAGTTCGGTTCCTCACTGTGCATCCCAGAACAGCCAGCCTGTATGGCCATGGACAAGCTGGGCACTCCCTCCAGGGCACTCCCAGAAGGATGGAATGGTAAACCATTTCTGAGTATTCTGTAGCTAGGAAACTCTTTAAAGGATTGGCATAAGCCAGAATGTACTTGATGGCATACAAGTATTATTATAATGACTTAAGAACTTTTGATTGATATTCGGTCCTTTTAAGTAAATCACCAGTATCCATATATTGGTCCATTGTATCAAGCATCAGTACCATTACCATTGAGGTGTCTGGATACTTGGGCTCTATGCTCATATCAGATGCTAGTAATGCCCCTTGCTGTGTAAGAGACACTACAGACTTTCTAATGAAACTGAAGCCTACCCTCGATCTTCCTGACCATACCATCTTAGCCACAATAGTTACAGAGGCTCTTCATACTAACATCCCACATAAAGGGAATGCCAATCAAAATGAAGACACAGCCCACTTAGTGCTCATGCAGAACTATTTCATCTTTGACGATAAAATCTATTTGTAGATCAAGGGAACTGCCATGGGTACACATATGGCACCACAAAATGCAAATATATTAACAGCTGACCTGCTGTACCCAGAAACCACTCCTATATTTGAGGTACATTGGTGGCATTTTTATTTTCTGGACTCACAGAAAAGAAGCCCTGAAGAAATTCTGTTGGGACTTCAGTCACTTTCATCCTAACATCAGCCTCAGCCTGGACCACTGTATACAACAGGTACACTTCGTAGACACCAGTGTGAAGCTATAATGTAGACATCTTAGCAAGGTATATAAAAGACCTACTGACCAATATACATACTTGCATGCATCCATCGTGAGCACGCCAAATAATTAGTATCTACAATCAAACTCTTGGATGTAATCACTTCTGCTTGGACACACATGATTGTAGATGTGACTACATTGTGAGGGACATGTGAATTAACTTTCATTCTATCACTGTGAAGTCACATGAGGGGATTCAATTCTCTTTGACATAAGAGGCCACACAGGCAGAGGAGAAAAACACCTTCTAATTGAGGAACAATCTCTATGCAAAAGAACTAATGGGAATAGCAATATATATATATATTTAAATCTGTTTTGGAACATTTCAGTCTACTTGGATACTCTTTGAATGACTTGAAAGTCAATATTCTGGGGGGAAAAGCACTACAAAACAAGAGCAACATCTGAGATAAGACATACACAGATACTGTACTGGGATGCTGGTGACCCACTTAAAAGGACTGTGTATCAATCAAGGGTTCTTAAGTATTAACCCAGTGTAAAATGCTTTATTGATTCACATAGCTTGCCGCTTATGTCAACTATGCTATGGTTACCTTGTAGACTGACAACTGACATTATTCACAGCCCGATAGCCTATTCTTTGACTAACGAACCATTATCATTTTGTCCATTATCTGTATCCCCACCTGGACATGGGGCTGTGTGTAAATATCGTGTGTCTCACTTTTATGTGTAAGGAATTGGACTTGATCCACAAAAAGTCATATTAAAATATAGCGGTGAGTCTTTCAGGTGCCACATTTTTGTCTCTTGTTTTTATTTTGTTTTTTATCTGATACCTTATGTGCTGTGTAGCGAAAGGAAAAATAATAGTACATTCTCCAGAGTAAAACAATATATGCGTGCTGCATATATGGTCTTCCTCAGTAAAAATCTTCAAAAAAGAAGATTTCTCCCCTGGGAGTGTCAGAGTTGTGACCCTGGAGCAGCTTACTCTCTCTCAGTCTAACTTGCAGAGGAGGAGAACCATAAATTTATTGGGAGAAAGAGAAGATAGATGTATGTAAGGTATACAGTAACTTTTAAAAATAAACGCGGAAAGTTCCTCTAAGGATGATAACGCACAGGTAGGCAGAAGAGCCCTATTTTGGCTTGTTTATTCAGGCCCTTTGCTTTATTCGTGCTGCACGTTTTAGCTTAGAATAACAATTTAAGACTCCACGAACTTCTCTGAGAATAAGACCCATTGAATGAGGATGCTCAATACGTAGGGGAAAGTTTGTCCCGCAGGCGGGTCTTTTACCTCCGCCTGCTGCTTCCCAACATACGTGGGAAACAGCATGCTGAGGCTATTCTTAACCGCTACGCTGCCCTTTCCAGCATCTGCAGAAACAAGAGGCAGCACAGGACGACGGGCGTTGAGTTACCTTCTTCCACGCCAGCCCTTCCTTCCATGTCTCCTTGGCTGCCCCAGCTTCTGGCTTGGCGCCACAAGCCGGGGGAGCCAAAGAGACATGGAAGGAAGGGCGTCTGGGGGCACCGGGGAGGTTTGCCTCAAGGCACGTCGAGCTCTCTTTCTTCCAGGATGCCCGAGAAAGAGAGAAAAGCCCCTCATGGGACCCTTCTCGTCGGGTGTCACAACAATCATCTCCTTCACGAAGCCCCAAATTGCCTCGGTTGTCCCCGAGCTCCAGCGGCCAGGCTGGACGGCCAGAGTCCGAGTCCCTCTCCAGCTTCCCTCACATGAACTTATCTGAGAGTAGGGAACAGCGCTCGCCGCCGCCGCCGCTGCCCTTCCCGCCTTAGCGGAAAACGCGTGTTTACATTGTGACCTAGGAAGGCGTTTCTTCGCCGGCCCCGCGTTAAGTTTGACGTTGCGGGACTTTTGTGCTGCGAAGGGGCGGCGGCGCTGGAGTCGGGCCTGGGAGCGGGACCGGGCCGGGGAGTGAAGCGAGTTGGCGGCCCGACTTAACTGGCCTAAGGGGCCGCTAAGGCGGCGGCGGCGGCTCCCAGCATGGTGGTGACCGTGGAGGTGCGCGAGGTGTACAAATACCCCTTCGAGCAAGTGGTGGCCAGCTACCTCCGCAAGGTAACACGGGAGCCCCTCCGTCCGCGGCCCTCTCTAGAGGGGAAGGGGCGCCAGGCCCCCAGTTCCCCTCCGGAGGCGCCGTTCTTCTCCTGCTTAAACAGGCCTGTGGAGGAAGGGGCGAGGACGGAACGGGGAGAATGGCGGCCGGCTGGCTGGCTGGCTGGGCTGGCTCTGCTCCGGAGCCTCGCCGTGAGAAAGGCGGAGTGGCGCAGCGCGCCTCAGCGTTGAAACAACAACAACAGGACCCGAGAATTCTGACCCGCCCCTGCCTCCCGGCCTAGGATGTTATGCAGTACTGTATGCGCA